CAACCGGGCTGTGGTGGGTATGTGGGCCTGCGGGCCGCTCCAAGCAACAGCCTGGTGGACCAAACTCTCACAAGTCGAGCCTGGCCTCGGGCCGGGCTTGGGGAGCTGAAGAACTCCCAGAACCCCATCAACCAGGTATCAACCAGGTAACTCCAGTGTCCATTGCTGGTCGACCGACGGTAGCGGGAGTGTGGTTGCCGAGGTCAGCTGTTTTTCTATCAGGGGAGTGGTTGTGGGTCTCTGTTCGTCTGTACGCAAGTAACAGTCTGGTGCAATAGCCAACTCCTTTTGGATAAAATCACCCCCTCCCTTCGCTACTACCTAGAAACAAATGAACAAACAAATTTGCTTACACGCAATGCCAGGGGTGACACTGTTGAAGAAACGGTCAGTGCCATAACTGGAATTAACTGCCCTACTGCTAGGAGTAAGATTGACTCATTATCTGACCAAAACCTTAAGCAACATCCACTTTGAGGAAACAGTAGTATGGTCAGATAAAGAGGCAATACTACAGTGGGTGCGAAATATTAATAGTAAAACACCTGACGTGAGCAATCGCGTAAAAGAAATGTCAGTTGACAGCTGGGTACAAAGTCATATATGTTCCCACAAAAGAGAATCCTGATGACCATCCTTCCAGAGGCCTGACGTTCAAACAATTATCCAAAATGGAGATGTGGTTCCATGGACCTGAGTGGCTAGTCAGTGACCAGTAGCCTGATCAAAAGCCACAAGTCATTGTGAACAATGTCACTGCTCCCACTGAGAGCTCAGAACAACCTCGGACTTCAGTAATTGATCCTACTCAGTAACAAAATGGGAATCAAACACTAATTCTCTAGTGCTATGATATATAGCACTAGGAAATTAGCTCATAAACAACAGGTATGTTGACGGTGTTTAACAATAGGTATATCGACGGTGTATGACTGTAGGTTTGTCGACTGTGTATGTCAATCGGTATGTCAACGGTGTTTAATGATAGGTATGTTAACGGTGTATGATTACATGTATGTTGACGGTGTATGACAATAAATATATTGACGGTGTATGACTATACAGCCCACCCTCCTTTGTTGGTAGTACGTAAGTGCGATGAGGGCTACAGTACATATTCCGACATACAGCATAATTAGAAAGAAGAAATCGGTACTATTAAAATTGGACAAACCGGAAAGTGATTTTCAACTTATGTGGCAAAGGCAAACTAACCTAACCTCCCTAGGCCTAATTACACGCTATCTGAGGCCTAATATAGTACATATAATATTATACTAGGCCTAGGAATATATGTTTTCTAGTTTCATTTACTCGGACTCTATAAAGTGAACATAGTTCAACTATGTAATTGCTAAGTACGTCAATGTTTGTACTATGGTGCACATACTTACTAAAGCTACTGTCTAAACAAGAGGATGGGTTGGACTGTAGGTATGTCGACGGTGTATGACAAACGGTATGTCGACGGAGTATGACAATAGGTATGTCGACGGAGTATGACAATAGATATATCGACGGTGTATGACAATAAGTATGTCGACGGTGTATGACAATAGATATGTCGACGGTGTATGACAATAGATATGTCGACGATGTATGACAATACATATGTCAACGGTGTATGACAATAGATATGTCGACGGAGTATGACAATAGATATGTCGACGGTGTATAACAACAGGTATGTCAACGGTGTATGACAATAGGTATGTCGACGGTGTATAACAACAGGTATGTCAACGGTGTATGACAATAGGTATGTCAACGGTGTATAACAACAGGTATGTCAACGGTGTATGACAATAGGTATGTCGATGGTGTATAACAACAGGTATGTCAACGGTGTATGTCAATAGGTATGTCGACGGTGTATAACAACAGGTATGTCAACGGTGTATGACAATAGGTATGTCGACGGTGTATGACAATAGGTATGTCGACGGTGTATAACAACAGGTATGTCAACGGTGTATGACAATAGGTATGTCGACGGTGTATGACAATAGGTATGTCGACTGTGTATAACAACAGGTATGTCAACGGTGTATGACAATAGGTATGTCGACTGTGTATAACAACAGGTATGTCGACAGTGTATAACAACAGGTATGTCGACAGTGTATAACAACAGGTATGTCAACGGTGTATAACAACAGGTATGTCGACTGTGTATAACAACAGGTATGTCGACGGTGTATAACAACAGGTATGTCGACGGTGTATAACAACAGGTATGTCAACGGTGTATAACAACAGGTATGTCGACGGTGTATAACAACAGGTATGTCGACGGTGTATAACAACAGGTATGTCAACGGTGTATAACAACAGGTATGTCGACGGTGTATAACAACAGGTATGTCAACGGTGTATAACAACAGGTATGTCGACGGTGTATAACAACAGGTATGTCGACGGTGTATAACAACAGGTATGTCGACTGTGTATAACAACAGGTATGTCAACGGTGTATAACAACAGGTATGTCGACGGTGTATAACAACAGGTATGTCGACGGTGTATAACAACAGGTATGTCGACGGTGTATAACAACAGGTATGTCGACGGTGTATAACAACAGGTATGTCGACGGTGTATAACAACAGGTATGTCGACGGTGTATAACAACAGGTATGGAGTGTGACAACTGCTACAAAATAAAACAATGTACACATAATGTGCACATGCAAATGTGTCTAGAAACACACACCCGCGCGCTGTAGTCTGGAGGGGCCGGGCTGGTACCCATGTAACCCACAATGTAACGCAGTGTAACTCCGCAAGGGTTAATATTTCGGCGGACTTTATGTTCTGTAACCTTCAGCATATCGTGGTCAGTGGGGTCTGAGGCGTCCCAGGACGCTGGTTCGATCCCACCCCTCCTGCTACAGCGGTTTTACCGTAGATACACATTATGTTATTGCGACTTTCGTGTGTATTTGTCGGGAGCATTTGGCGGAGAACTCAATAACCTACACCGGTGTGTATGCCGAATACACGTAAAAACCCCTCCGCTACACTCTGGATATGTGACACAAATACACATATACACTGTCCTTCTCACTCAAGCACAGGGAGACACGTGCAGGTACGGTCACGCTACGTGGCGGGAATGTCCCTCAAACACGCACCACTGCGGATATTGGCCGGGACGTCTAGCCGACACGCACCGGCCCGATAAAGAACGCCACTATGACAGCAGGACACGCGGCGCCGCAGGTAAACCTTGGCATTTTCTGCTCAGAGTCCAGCCAAGGCGTCACCCTGTGAACCTTTCGAGGAGAAGAACCCACAAGCCGTCGTCTCACCTAATACGTCGTAATTTCTTACGGAATCCACCAATTGGTTTAAACTACGTTTTATCAGTAACGATTCAAGCACCTTAATTAATATTGCCGTTTTCTATGCATCAGTCTCAATAGGGTATGGGGGTTTGCTCGGGTTCATGCGTTTCCGGTTGGTAAACTGTTGTAAACTATGAGAAAGACTGAGGGTATTGTTTGGAAGTCTTATACATGGGCTGGATGGTAGATCAACGGTCTCGCTCCTTGCAGGTCGGCGTTCAATCCCCCGACCCTTCATGTGGTTGGGCACCATTCCTTTCCCCCCGTCCAAATCTTTATCCTGACTCTTTTCCAGTGCTATATAGTCATAATAGTTTGGTCTTTCTCATCTTCCTTTTGTATTCATCAATACAGTATTATCATGGGATATACACACCGAGGGATGGGCCCCGCTTCACGGTGTATTCACTCAGAGTTTTCATTAGTCTTGGACAATGCAGACTATGCAGACAGTCCTGGACTGTGTGTAGGACTTAAGTTCGGTATACTTGTCAGTTAGTCAGAACAACATTGTTGTGGCTGTAATAACCCTCCTGGACTTGATGACCTACAGGTCAACACCACCACCATGACCACATCGATATATGTAGTCAGACGTGTTCACAAATGTTCAGAAAAAATAAGCTGAGGCGCGTTAATATTAGCAAAGTTAACGCTAATATAAGCATCCTAATATTTGCTAAGCTCTTGTGGTGGGCTTAATAGCCCTCTCCTCATTCATAGGTCGTAATCCAATCACATTTAAACTATCCTCATAAACACCGCACAACCCGTTCTCCCGATAGAGCGTCGCATTTTGACGTACACTCTTACCTAAGGCCAAAAACTGTCGTACTAGTAAATGGAAGCGGCTCGCGAAATTGGCCTACAGTGCCGTTTTCTACTTTTGGTCCTCTGGTAGGTTAGGATAAGGGCACTTTAGTTCGACAGTTTCTTGACGTTGTGAAACCTGAGGAGGACGGGCTGGTCTGCAAGAAGGACAGAAAGTGAGTCTGTCATCTCTGTCAAATGTATGTGACAATAGAGCAATTGAAATCTATTCCACAGACTAGAGCCTACTCCACTGGTACACAAAGTTGTAACACAGATGAAAATGTACCTCAGCAGGTACTCAAACTACCACCGCAGAAATGTACCTCGTCGGTACACAAAATTATACCATTGAGAAGTTAGTACCACTCTTGTAAACTGCACCACAGCGAGCAGGAGTGGGGGGGGGGGCAACCCAGAGGATCCCGTAGTTACTGTCTGATATATGGATATTAATTATAATTTCAGGGCTGCACATTCCCGGCTAATATATTACGGTGTTCTGGGCCGGACTGTCTCTGTATCAATTACAGCACCAGGCCTTTTGAACCGGCATCCTACAGTGGTAGCAGGCCATACTGCAGTGGTGGCCTGCCATCCTACAGGGGTGGCCTGCCATCCTACATTGGTGGCCTGCCATCCTACAGTGGTGGCCTGCCATCCTACAGTGGTGGCCTGCCATCCTAGAGTCATGGTCTACCATCCTGCAGTGGTGGTCTGCCATCCTGCAGTGCTGGTCTGCCCACTTGCAGTGGGGGATCTGCCAACCTGCAGTGGTGGTCTGCAATCCTGCAGTAATGGCCTGCCATCGTACAGTCATGGTCTACCATCCTACAGTAATGGTCAGCCACCCTGCAGTGGCGGTCTGCCCTCTTGAAGTAGTGGTCTGTTATCGTGCAGTGGTGGCCTGCCATCCTGCAGTGGTGGCCTGCCTTCCTGCAGTGTTGGTCTGCTACCCTGCAGTGGTGGCCTGCCATCCTGCAGTGGTGGTCTGCCATCGTGCAGTGGTGTTCTGCCATCCTGCAGTACTGGCCTGCCACCCTGCAGTGGCGGTCTGCCTTCCTGCCGTGGTGGCCAGCCATCCTGCAGAGTTGTCCTGCCATCTTGCAGGTGAGGCCTGCCTTCCTGCAGTGGTGGTCTGCCTTCCTGCAGTTGTGGCTTGCCAGCCTGCAGTGGTGGTCTGTCCTCTTGCTGTGGTGGTCCGCAATCCTGCAGTAGTGGTCTACCATCCTGCAGTGGTTGTCTGCCATCCTGCAGAGGTGGTCTGCCCTCTTGCAGTGGTGTTCTGCCATCCAGCGGTGGTGGTCTGCCATCCTGCAGTAGGGGCCTGCCTTCCTGCAGTGGTGGTCTGCCATCCTTCAGTGGTGGTCTGCCATCTTGCATTGGTGGCCTGCCCACCTACAGTGGTGGCCTGCCATCTTGCAGTGGTAGCCTGCCCTCCTCCAGTGGTGGTCTGCCATTCTGCAGTGGTGGCCTGCCATCTTGCAGTGTTGGCCTGCCATCCTGCAGTGGTGGCCTGCCTTCCTGCAGTAGTGGCCTGCCATCCTGCAGTGGTGGTCTGCCTTCATGCAGTTGTAACTTGCCCTCCTGCAGTGGGGGCCTGCAATCCTGCAGTGGTGGTCTGCCCTTCTACCGTCGTGGTCTGCCTTCCTGCTATTGTGGCTTGCCCTCCTGCAGTGGTGGCCTGCCCATCTGCTGTGGTGGCCTGCCCATCTGCTGTGGTGGCCTGCCATCCTGCAATGGTGGTCTGCCATCCTGCAGTTGTGGTCTGCCCTCTTGAAATGGTGGTATACTATCCTGCAATGGTGGTCTGCAACCTGCAGTGGCGGTCTGCCCTCTTGCAATGGTGGTCTGCCATCCTGCAGCGGCTGCCTGCCCTCCTGCATTGGTGGTCTACCATCATGCATTGGTGGCCTGCCATCCTGCAGGTGAGGCCTGCATTCCTGCAGTGGTGGCCTGCCATCCTGCAGGTGAGGCCTGCATTCCTGCAGTGGTGGCCTGCCATCCTGCTGCAGTGGTGGTCTGCAATCCTGCAGTAGTGGCCTGCCATCCTGCAGTAGTGGTCTACCATCCTGCAGTGGTTGTCTGCCACCCTGCAGAGGTGGTCTGTCCTCTTGCAGTGGTGGTCTGCCATCCAGCAGTGATGGCCTGCCATCCTGCAGTAGTGGTCTGCAATCATGCATTGGTTGCCTTGCCATCCTGCAGTGGCTGCCTGTTATCTTGCAGTGGTGGCCTGCCCTCCTGCAGTGGTGGTCTGCCATCTTGCATTGGTGGCCTGCCATCCTGCCGTGGTGACCTGCCTTCCTGCAATAGTGATCTGCCATCCTGCCGTGGTGACCTGCCATCCTGATGCAGTGGCTTGCCTTCCTGTAGTTGAGGCCTGCCATCCTGCAGTGGTGGCCTGCCATCCTGCAGTGGTGGTCTGCCTTCATGCAGTTGTGGCTTGCACTCCTGCAGTGGGGGCCTGCAATCCTGCAGTGGTGGTCTGCCTTTCTACAGTTGTGGCTTGCCCTCCTGCAGTGGTGGCCTGCAATCCTCAAGTGGTGGCCTGCTCTTCTGCTGTGGTGGCCTGCCATCCTGCAATGGTGGTCTGCCATCCTGCAGTAGTGGTCTGCCCTCTTGCAGTGGTGGTTTACCATCCTGTAATGGTTGTCTGCCATCCTGCCGTGGTGGTCTGCCATCCTGCAGTGATGGAATGCCATCCTGCTGTAGTGGTCTGCAATCATGCATTGGTGGCCTTGCCATCCTGCATTGCTGCCTGTTATCTTGCAGTGGTGGCCTGCCCTCCTGCCGTGGTGGTCTGCCATCTTGCATTTGTTGCCTGCCATCCTGCCGTGGTGACCTGCCTTCCTGCAATAGTGATCTGCCATCCTGCCGTGGTGACCTGCCATCCTGATGGGGTGGCTTGCCTTCCTGTAGTTGAGGCCTGCCATCCTGCAGTGGTGGCCTGCCTTCCTGCAGTTGTGGCCTGCCATCCTGCAGTGGTGATCTGCCTTCCTGCAGTTGTTGCCTGCCATCCTGCAGTGGTGGACTGCCATCCTGCAGTGGTGGTCTGCCTTCATGCAGTTGTGGCTTGCCCTCCTGTAGTGGGGGCCTGCAATCCTGCAGTGGTGGTCTGCCTTTCTACAGTTGTGGCTTGCCCTCCTGCAGTGGTGGCCTGCAATCCTCAAGTGGTGGCCTGCTCTTCTGCTGTGGTGGCCTGCCATCCTGCAATGGTGGCCTGCCATCCTGCAGTAGTGGTCTGCCCTCTTGCAGTGGTTGTTTACCATCCTGTAATGGTTGTCTGCCATCCTGCAGTGGTGGTCTGCCATCCTGCAGTGATAGCCTGCCATCCTGCAGTAGTGGTCTGGAATCATGCATTGGTAGCCTTGCCATCCTGCAGTGGCTGCCTGTTATCTTGCAGTGGTGGCCTGCCCTCCTGCAGTGGTGGTCTGCCATCTTGCATTGGTGGCCTGCCATCCTGCCGTGGTGACCTGCCTTCCTGCAATAGTGATCTGCCATCCTGCCGTGGTGACCTGCCATCCTGATGCGGTGGCTTGCCTTCCTGTAGTTGAGGCCTGCCATCCTGCAGTGGTGGCCTGCCTTCCTGCAGTTGTGGCCTGCCATCCTGCAGTGGTGATCTGCCTTCCTGCAGTGGTGGTCTGCCCTCCTACAATCGTGGTCTGCCATCCTGCCGCGGCACCCTGCCCTCCTGCAGTGGTGGTCTGCCATCATGCATTGGTGGCCTGCCTTCCTGCAGTTGTGGCCTGCTATCCTGCAGTGGTGGCCTGCCATCCTGCAGGTGAGGTCTGCCTTCCAGCAGTGGTGGTCTGCCTTCCTGCAGTTGTGGCTTGCCAGCCTGCAGTGGTGGCCTGCCATCCTGCAGTGGTGGCCTGCCATCCTGCAGTGGTGGCCTGCCATCCTGCAGTGGTGGTCTGCCCTCTTGCTGAGGTGGTCTGCAATCCTGCAGGAGTGGCCTGCCATCCTGCAGTAGTGGTCTACCATCCTGCAGTGGTTGTCTGCCATCCTGCAGAGGTGGTCTGCCATCCGGCAGTGGTGGTCTGCCACTCTACAGTGGTGGCCTGCCTTCCTGCAGTGGTGGTCTAACATCCTTCAGTGGTGATCTGCCGTCATGCAGTGGTGGCCTGCCATCATGCAGTGGTGGCCTGCCATCCTGCAGTCGTGATCTGCCATCCTGCAGTGGTGGCCTGCCATTCTGCTGTGTTGGTCTGCCATCCTGCAGTGGTGGTCTGCAGTCATGTATTGGTGGCCTTGCCATCCAGCAGTGGTGGCCTGCTATCCTGCAGTGGTGGCCTGCCCTCCTGCAGTGGTGATCTGCCATCTTGCATTGGTGGCCTGCAATCCTGCCTTGGTGACCTGCCTTCCTGCAATGGTGATCTGCCATCCTGCCGAGATGACCTGCTATCCTGCAGTGGTGGCCTGCCCTCCTGCAGTGGAGGTCAGCCCTTCTCGAGTGGTGGCCTGCCATCCTGCAGTAGTTGCCTGCCATCCTTCAGTAGTGGCCTCTCATCCTACATTGGTGGTCTGCCCTCCTGCAGTGGTGACCTGCCATCCTGCAGTGGTGGTCTGACATCCTCGAGGGGAGGCCTGCCCTCCTGCAGTGGTCGCCTGCCATCCTGCAGTGGTGGTTTGTCATTCTGCAGTTGTTTCCTGCCTCCGGCAGTGGTGGCCTGCCATCCTGCAATGGTGGCCTCTCATCCTGAAGTGGTGGCCTGCCATCCTGCAGTGGTGGCCTGCCCTCCTGCAGTGGTGGTCTGCCATCTTGCAGTTGAGGTCTGCCATCCTGTAGTGGTGGCCTGCCATCCTGCATTAGTGGCATGCCATCCTGCATTGGAGGCTTGCCGTCATGCAGTGGAGGTCTGCCCTCGTGCAGTGGTGGTCTGCCCTCCTGCAGTGGTGGCCTGCCATCCTGCATTGGTGGTATGCAGTTCTGCAGTGGTGGCCTGCCATCTTGCAGTGTTTGCCTGCCATCCTGCAGTGGTTGCCTGCCTTCCTGCAGTAGTGGCCTGCCATCCTGCAGTGGTCGCCTGCCTTCTAGCAGTGGTGGCCTGCCATGCTGCAGTGGTGATCTGCCTTCCTGCAGTTGTGGCCTGCCATCCTGCAGTAGTGGCCTGCCATCCTGCAGCGGTCGTCTGCATTCATGCAGCTGTGGCTTGTCCTACTGCAGTGGGGGCCTGCAATCCTGCAGTGGTGGCCTGCCCTTCTGCTGTGGTGGTCTGCCATCCTGCACTGGTGGTCTGCCATCCTGCAGTGGTGGTCTGCTCTCTTGCAATGGTGGTCTGCCATCCTGCAGCGGCAGCCTGCCCTCCTGCATTGGTGGTCTGCCATCATGCATTGGTGGCCTGCCTTCCTGCAATTGTGGCCGGTCATCCTGCAGTGGTGGCCTGCCATCCTGCAGATGAGGCCTGCCTTAAAGCAGTGGTGGTCTGCCTTCCTGCAGTTATGGCTTGCCAGCCTGCTGAGGTGGCCTGCCATCCTGCAGTGGTGACCTGCCATCCTGCAGTGGTGGCCTGCCATCCTGCAGTGGTGGTCTGCCCTCTTGCAGTGGTGGTCTGCAATCCCGCAGTCGTGGCCTGGCATCCTGCAGTAGTGGCCTGCCATCCTGCAGTGGTGGCCTGCCATCCGGCAGTGGTGGTCTGCCCTCTTGCAGTGGTGGTCTGCAATCCTGCAGTAGTGGTCTGGTATCCTGCAGTAGTGGTCTGCCATCTTGCAGTTTTGGTCTGCCATCCTGCAGTGGTGGCCTGCCATCTTGCAGTGGTGGCATTCTATCCTGCATTGGTTGCCTGCCCTCCTGCAGTGGTGTTCTGCCGTCCTGCAGTGGTGGTCTGCCCTCTTTCAGTGGTGGTCTGCCCATCTGCAGTGATGGCCTGCCATCCTACAGTGGTGGCCTGCCCACCTGCAATGGTGAACTTCCATCTTAGAGTGGTAGCCTGTCATCTTGCAGTGGTGGTCTGCCATCTTGCAGTCATGCCCTTCCATCCAGCAGTGGTTGCCTGCTATCCTGCAGTGGTGGCCTGCCATCCGGCAGCGGTGGTCTGCCATCCTACAGTGGTGGTCTGCCATTTGGCAGTGGTGGCTTGCCCTCCTGCAGTAATGACCAGCCCTCCTGCATTGGTGGCCTGTCATCCTGCAGTGATGGGCTCTCATATCCTGCAGTGGAGGTCTACCTTCCTGTGGCCTGCTATCCTGCAGTGGTGGCCTGCCCTTCAGCAGTCGAGGTCTGCTATCTTGCAGTGGTGGTCTGCCATCCTTTAGTGGTGGCGTGCCCTCCAGCAGTCGAGGTCTGCCATCTTGCAGTAGTGGCCTGCCATCCTGCAGTGGTTGTCTGCTATCCTGCAGTAGTGGCCTGCCATCCTGTAGTGGTGGCGTGCCCTCCTGCAGTGGTGGCCTGCTCTCCTGCATGTGGTGGTCTGCCATCTTTCAGTGGTGGCCTGCCTTCCTGCAGCAGTGGCCTGCCATTTTGCAGTGGTGGTCTGCCCTCCTACAGTAGTGGCCTGCTATCTTGCAGAGGTATCCTGCTATCCTGCATTGGTGACCTACCATCCTGCAGTGGTTGTCTGACATCCTGCAGTGGTTTCCTGCCATCCTGCAGTGGTGGGCTCTCATCCTGCAGTGGAGGTCTACCTTCCTACAGTAGTGGCCTGCTATCCTGCAGTGGTGGCCTGACCTCCAGCAGTCGAGATCTGCCGTCTTGCAGTGGTGGTCTGCCATCCTGTAGTGGTGGCCTGCCATCCAGCAGTGGTGGCCTGCCCTCCTGCAGTGGTGGCCTGCCATCCTGCAGTGGTGGTCTGCCATCCTGCAGTTGTGGCCTGCTATCCGGCAGAGGTGGCCTCTCATCCTGCAGTGGTGGTCTATCTTCCTACAGTAGTCGTCTGCTATCTTGCAATGGTGGCCTGCCATCCTGCAGTGGTGGCCTGCCCTCCTGCAATCGTTGTCTGCCATCTTGCAGTGGTGGCCTGCCCTCATGCAGTCGTGGTCTGCCATCCGGCAGTGGTGGCCTGCCATCCGGCAGTGGTGGCCTGCCCTCATGCAGTCGTGGTCTGCCATCCGGCAGTGGTGGCCTGCCATCCGGCAGTGGTGGCGTGCCCTCCTGCAGTGGTGGCCTGCTCCCCTGCAGGTGGTGGCCTGCCATCCTGCAGTAGTGGTCTGCCCTCCTGCAGAGGTTTCCTGCCATCCTGCAGTAGTGGCCTGCCTTCCTGCAGCGGTGGGCTGCCATCTTGCAGTGGTGGCCTGCTCTCCTAAAGTAGTGGCCTGCTATCCTGCAAAGGTTTCCTGCCATCCTGCAGTGGTGGCCTGCCGTGCTGCAGTGGTAGCAGGCAGTCCTGCAGTGGTGACCTACCATCCTGCAGTGGTTTTCTGACATCCTACAGTGGTTTCATGCCATCCTGCAGTGGTGGTCTGACTTCCTGCAGTTGTGGCTTGCCCTCCTGCAGAGTTGGCCTGCAATCCTGCAGTGGAGTCCTGCCCCTCTGCTGTGGTGGCCTGCCATCCAGCAATAGTTATCTATTATCCTGCAGTGGTGGTCTGCCCTCTTGCAGTGGTGACTTGGCATCCGGCAGTGATGATCTGCCTTCATGTATTGGCGGCCTGCCTTCCTGCAGTTGTGGCCTGTCATCCTGCAGTGGTGACCTGCCATCCTGCAGTGGTGGCCTGCTTTCCTGCAGTGGTGGTCTGCCTTCCTGCAGTTTTGGCTTGCCAGCCTGTAGTGGTGGCCTGCCATCCTGCAGTGGTGGTCTGCCCTCGTGCAGTGGTGGTCTGCCCTCCTGCAGTGGTGGCCTGCCATCCTGCAGTGGTGGTATGCAGTTCTGCAGTGGTGGCCTGCCATCTTGCAGTGTTTGCCTGCCATCCTGCAGTGGTTGCCTGCCTTCCTGCAGTAGTGGCCTGCCATCCTGCAGTGGTCGCCTGCCTTCTAGCAGTGGTGGCCTGCCATGCTGCAGTGGTGATCTGCCTTCCTGCAGTTGTGGCCTGCCATCCTGCAGTAGTGGCCTGCCATCCTGCAGCGGTCGTCTGCATTCATGCAGCTGTGGCTTGTCCTACTGCAGTGGGGGCCTGCAATCCTGCAGTGGTGGCCTGCCCTTCTGCTGTGGTGGTCTACCATCCTGCAATGGTGGTCTGCCATCCTGCAGTGGTGGTCTGCTCTCTTGCAATGGTGGTCTGCCATCCTGCAGCGGCAGCCTGCCCTCCTGCATTGGTGGTCTGCCATCATGCATTGGTGGCCTGCCTTCCTGCAATTGTGGCCGGTCATCCTGCAGTGGTGGCCTGCCATCCTGCAGATGAGGCCTGCCTCAAAGCAGTGGTGGTCTGCCTTCCTGCAGTTATGGCTTGCCAGCCTGCTGAGGTGGCCTGCCATCCTGCAGTGGTGACCTGCCATCCTGCAGTGGTGGCCTGCCATCCTGCAGTGGTGGTCTGCCATCCTGCAGTGATAGCCTGCCATCCTGCAGTAGTGGTCTGGAATCATGCATTGGTAGCCTTGCCATCCTGCAGTGGCTGCCTGTTATCTTGCAGTGGTGGCCTGCCCTCCTGCAGTGGTGCTCTGCAATCTTGCATTGGTGGCCTGCCATCCTGCCGTGGTGACCTGCCTTCCTGCAATAGTGATCTGCCATCCTGCCGTGGTGACCTGCCATCCTGATGCGGTGGCTTGCCTTCCTGTAGTTGAGGCCTGCCATCCTGCAGTGGTGGCCTGCCTTCCTGCAGTTGTGGCCTGCCATCCTGCAGTGATCTGCCTTCCTGCAGTGGTGGTCTGCCCTCCTACAATGGTGGTCTGCCATCCTGCCGCGGCACCCTGCCCTCCTGCAGTGGTGGTCTGCCATCATGCATTGGTGGCCTGCCTTCCTGCAGTTGTGGCCTGCCATCCTGCAGTGGTGGCCTGCCATCCTGCAGGTGAGGTCTGACTTCCAGCAGTGGTGGTCTGCCTTCCTGCAGTTGTGGCTTGCCAGCCTGCAGTGCTGGCCTGCCATACTGCAGTGGTGGCCTGCCATCCTGCAGTGGTGGCCTGCCATCCTGCAGTGGTGGTCTGCCCTCTTGCTGAGGTGGTCTGCAATCCTGCAGGAGTTGCCTGCCATCCTGCAGTAGTGGTCTACCATCCTGCAGTGGTTGTCTGCCATCCTGCAGAGGTGGTCTGCCATCCGGCAGTGGTGGTCTGCCACTCTACAGTGGTGGCCTGCCTTCCTGCAGTGGTGGTCTAACATCCTTCAGTGGTGATCTGCCGTCATGCAGTGGTGGCCTGCCATCATGCAGTAGTGGCCTGCCATCCTGCAGTCGTGATCTGCCATCCTGCAATGGTGGCCTGCCATTCTGCTGTGTTGGTCTGCCATCCTGCAGTGGTGGTCTGCAGTCATGTATTGGTGGCCTTGCCATCCAGCAGTGGTGGCCTGCTATCCTGCAGTGGTGGCCTGCCCTCCTGCAGTGGTGATCTGCCATCTTGCATTGGTGGCCTGCAATCCTGCCTTGGTGACCTGCCTTCCTGCAATGGTGATCTGCCATCCTGCCGAGGTGACCTGCTATCCTGCAGTTGTGGCTTGCCATCTTGCAGTGGAGGTCAGCCCTTCTCGAGTGGTGGCCTGCCATCCTGCAGTAGTTGCCTGCCATCCTTCAGTAGTGGCCTCTCATCCTACATTGGTGGTCTGCCCTCCTGCAGTGGTGACCTGCCATCCTGCAGTGGTGGTCTGACATCCTCGAGGGGAGGCCTGCCCTCCTGCAGTGGTCGCCTGCCATCCTGCAGTGGTGGTTTGTCATTCTGCAGTTGTTTCCTGCCTCCGGCAGTGGTGGCCTGCCATCCTGCAATGGTGGCCTCTCATCCTGAAGTGGTGGCCTGCCATCCTGCAGTGGTGGCCTGCCCTCCTGCAGTGGTGGTCTGCCATCTTGCAGTTGAGGTCTGCCATCCTGTAGTGGTGGCCTGCCATCCTGCATTAGTGGCATGCCATCCTGCATTGGAGGCCTGCCGTCATGCAGTGGAGGTCTGCCCTCGTGCAGTGGTGGTCTGCCCTCCTGCAGTGGTGGCCTGCCATCCTGCATGGTGGTATGCAGTTCTGCAGTGGTGGCCTGCCATCTTGCAGTGTTTGCCTGCCATCCTGCAGTGGTTGCCTGCCTTCCTGCAGTAGTGGCCTGCCATCCTGCAGTGGTCGCCTGCCTTCTAGCAGTGGTGGCCTGCCATGCTGCAGTGGTGATCTGCCTTCCTGCAGTTGTGGCCTGCCATCCTGCAGTAGTGGCCTGCCATCCTGCAGCGGTCGTCTGCATTCATGCAGCTGTGGCTTGTCCTACTGCAGTGGGGGCCTGCAATCCTGCAGTGGTGGCCTGCCCTTCTGCTGTGGTGGTCTACCATCCTGCAATGGTGGTCTGCCATCCTGCAGTGGTGGTCTGCTCTCTTGCAATGGTGGTCTGCCATCCTGCAGCGGCAGCCTGCCCTCCTGCATTGGTGGTCTGCCATCATGCATTGGTGGCCTGCCTTCCTGCAATTGTGGCCGGTCATCCTGCAGTGGTGGCCTGCCATCCTGCAGATGAGGCCTGCCTTAAAGCAGTGGTGGTCTGCCTTCCTGCAGTTATGGCTTGCCAGCCTGCTGAGGTGGCCTGCCATCCTGCAGTGGTGACCTGCCATCCTGCAGTGGTGGCCTGCCATCCTGCAGTGGTGGTCTGCCCTCTTGCAGTGGTGGTCTGCAATCCCGCAGTCGTGGCCTGGCATCCTGCAGTAGTGGCCTGCCATCCTGCAGTGGTGGCCTGCCATCCGGCAGTGGTGGTCTGCCCTCTTGCAGTGGTGGTCTGCAATCCTGCAGTAGTGGTCTGGTATCCTGCAGTAGTGGTCTGCCATCTTGCAGTTTTGGTCTGCCATCCTGCAGTGGTGGCCTGCCATCTTGCAGTGGTGGCATTCTATCCTGCATTGGTTGCCTGCCCTCCTGCAGTGGTGTTCTGCCGTCCTGCAGTGGTGGTCTGCCCTCTTTCAGTGGTGGTCTGCCCATCTGCAGTGATGGCCTGCCATCCTACAGTGGTGGCCTGCCCACCTGCAATGGTGAACTTCCATCTTAGAGTGGTAGCCTGTCATCTTGCAGTGGTGGTCTGCCATCTTGCAGTCATGCCCTTCCATCCAGCAGTGGTTGCCTGCTATCCTGCAGTGGTGGCCTGCCATCCGGCAGCGGTGGTCTGCCATCCTACAGTGGTGGTCTGCCATTTGGCAGTGGTGGCTTGCCCTCCTGCAGTAATGACCAGCCCTCCTGCATTGGTGGCCTGTCATCCTGCAGTGATGGGCTCTCATATCCTGCAGTGGAGGTCTACCTTCCTGTGGCCTGCTATCCTGCAGTGGTGGCCTGCCCTTCAGCAGTCGAGGTCTGCCATCTTGCAGTGGTGGTCTGCCATCCTTTAGTGGTGGCGTGCCCTCCAGCAGTCGAGGTCTGCCATCTTGCAGTAGTGGCCTGCCATCCTGCAGTGGTTGTCTGCTATCCTGCAGTAGTGGCCTGCCATCCTGTAGTGGTGGCGTGCCCTCCTGCAGTGGTGGCCTGCTCTCCTGCATGTGGTGGTCTGCCATCTTTCAGTGGTGGCCTGCCTTCCTGCAGCAGTGGCCTGCCATTTTGCAGTGGTGGTCTGCCCTCCTACAGTAGTGGCCTGCTATCTTGCAGAGGTATCCTGCTATCCTGCATTGGTGACCTACCATCCTGCAGTGGTTGTCTGACATCCTGCAGTGGTTTCCTGCCATCCTGCAGTGGTGGGCTCTCATCCTGCAGTGGAGGTCTACCTTCCTACAGTAGTGGCCTGCTATCCTGCAGTGGTGGCCTGACCTCCAGCAGTCGAGATCTGCCGTCTTGCAGTGGTGGTCTGCCATCCTGTAGTGGTGGCCTGCCATCCAGCAGTGGTGGCCTGCCCTCCTGCAGTGGTGGCCTGCCATCCTGCAGTGGTGGTCTGCCATCCTGCAGTTGTGGCCTGCTATCCGGCAGAGGTGGCCTCTCATCCTGCAGTGGTGGTCTATCTTCCTACAGTAGTCGTCTGCTATCTTGCAATGGTGGCCTGCCATCCTGCAGTGGTGGCCTGCCCTCCTGCAATCGTTGTCTGCCATCTTGCAGTGGTGACCTGCCCTCATGCAGTCGTGGTCTGCCATCCGGCAGTGGTGGCCTGCCATCCGGCAGTGGTGGCCTGCCCTCATGCAGTCGTGGTCTGCCATCCGGCAGTGGTGGCCTGCCATCCGGCAGTGGTGGCGTGCCCTCCTGCAGTGGTGGCCTGCTCCCCTGCAGGTGGTGGCCTGCCATCCTGCAGTAGTGGTCTGCCCTCCTGCAGAGGTTTCCTGCCATCCTGCAGTAGTGGCCTGCCTTCCTGCAGCGGTGGGCTGCCATCTTGCAGTGGTGGCCTGCTCTCCTAAAGTAGTGGCCTGCTATCCTGCAAAGGTTTCCTGCCATCCTGCAGTGGTGGCCTGCCGTGCTGCAGTGGTAGCAGGCAGTCCTGCAGTGGTGACCTACCATCCTGCAGTGGTTTTCTGACATCCTACAGTGGTTTCATGCCATCCTGCAGTGGTGGTCTGACTTCCTGCAGTTGTGGCTTGCCCTCCTGCAGAGTTGGCCTGCAATCCTGCAGTGGAGTCCTGCCCCTCTGCTTTGGTGGCCTGCCATCCAGCAATAGTTATCTATTATCCTGCAGTGGTTGTCTGCCCTCTTGCAGTGGTGACTTGGCATCCGGCAGTGATGATCTGCCTTCATGTATTGGTGGCCTGCCTTCCTGCAGTTGTGGCCTGTCATCCTGCAGTGGTGACCTGCCATCCTGCAGTGGTGGCCTGCTTTCCTGCAGTGGTGGTCTGCCTTCCTGCAGTTTTGGCTTGCCAGCCTGTAGTGGTGGCCTGCCATCCTGCAGTGGTGGCCTGCCATCCTGCAGTGGTGGTCTGCCCTCTTGCAGTGGTGGTCTGCAATCCTGCAGTAGTGGCCTGTCATCCTGCAGTAGTGGTCTACCATCCTGCAGTGGTTGTCTGCCATCCTGCAGAGTTGGTCGGCCCTCTTTCAGTGGTGGTCTGTCATCTAGCAGTGGTCGCCTGCCATCCTGCAGTAGTGGCCTGCCATCCGTTAGTGGTGGTCTGCCATCCTGCAGTGGTAGCCTGCCTTCCTGCGGTGGTGGTCTGCCATCCTTCAGTGGTGATCTGCCGTCATGCAGTGGTGGCCTGCCATCCTGCACTGTTGGCCTGCCATCCTGCAGTCGTGATCTGCCATCCTGCAGTGGGGGCTTGCCATTCTGCAGTGTTTGTCTGCCAGTCTTCCTTGGTGGGTGGCCTTCCTGCAGTGGTGGTCTGCAATCATGCATTGGTGGCCTTCTATCCTGCAGTGGTGGCCTGCTCATCCTGCAGTGGTGGCCTTCCATCTTAGAGTGGTGGCCTGCCCTCTTGCAGTGGTGGCCTGCCATCCTGCAGTGGTGGCCTTCCATCCAGCAGTGGTGGCCTGCCATCCTGCAGTGGTGGCCTGCCATCCTGCAGCGGTGGTCTGCCATCCTACAGTGGTGGTCTGCCATTTGGCAGTGGTGGCTTGCCCTCCTGCAGTAATGGCCAGCCCTCCTGCATTGGTGGCCTGTCATCCTGCAGTGATGGGCTCTCATCCTGCAGTGGAGGTCTACCTTCCTGTGGCCTGCTATCCTGCAGTGGTGGCCTGCCCTTCAGCAGTCGAGGTCTGCCATCTTGCAGTGGTGGTCTGCCATCCTGTAGTGGTGGCGTGCCCTCCAGCAGTCGAGGTCTGCCATCTTGCAGTAGTGGCCTGCCATCCTACAGTGGTTGTCTGCTATCCTGCAGTGGTGGCTTGCCCTCCTGCAGTGGTGGCCTGCTCTCCTGCATGTGGTGGTCTGCCATCTTTCAGTGGTGGCCTGCCTTCCTGCAGCAGTGGCCTGCCATTTTGCAGTGGTGGTCTGCCCTCCTACAGTAGTGGCCTGCTATCTTGCAGAGGTATCCTGCTATCCTGCATTGGTGACCTACAATCCTGCAGTGGTTGTCTGACATCCTGCAGTGGTTTCCTGCCATCCTGCAGTGGTGGGCTCTCATCCTGCAGTGGAGGTCTACTTTCCTACAGTAGTGGCCTGCTATCCTGCATTGCTGGCCTGCCCTCCAGCAGTCGAGATCTGCCGTCTTGCAGTGGTGGTCTGCCATCCTGTAGTGGTGGCCTGCCATCCAGCAGTGGTGGCCTGCCCTCCTGCAGTGGTGGCCTGTCATCCTGCAGTGGTGGTCTGCCATCCTGCAGTTGTGGCCTGCTATCCGGCAGAGGTGGCCTCTCATCCTGCAGTGGTGGTCTATCTTCCTACAGTAGTCGTCTGCTATCTTGCAATGGTGGCCTGCCATCCTGCAGTGGTGGCCTGCCCTCCTGCAGTCGTGGTCTGCCATCTTGCAGTGGTGGCCTGCCCTCATGCAGTCGTGGTCTGCCAGCCTGTAGTGGTGGCCTGCCATCCTGCAGTGGTGGCCTGCCATCCTGCAGTCGTGGTCTGCCATCCGGCAGTGGTGGCCTGCCATCCGGCAGTGGTGGCGTGCCCTCCTGCAGTGGTGGCCTGCTCCCCTGCAGGTGGTGGCCTGCCATCCTGCAGTAGTGGTCTGCCCTCCTGCAGAGGTTTCCTGCCATCCTGCAGTAGTGGCCTGCCTTCCTGCAGCGGTGGGCTGCCATCTTGCAGTGGTGGCCTGCTCTCCTAAAGTAGTGGCCTGCTATCCTGCAAAGGTTTCCTGCCATCCTGCAGTGGTGGCCTGCCGTGCTGCAGTGGTAGCAGGCAGTCCTGCAGTGGTGACCTACCATCCTGCAGTGGTTTTCTGACATCCTACAGTGGTTTCATGCCATCCTGCAGTGGTGGTCTGACTTCCTGCAGTTGTGGCTTGCCCTCCTGCAGAGTTGGCCTGCAATCCTGCAGTGGAGTCCTGCCCCTCTGCTGTGGTGGCCTGCCATCCAGCAATAGTTATCTATTATCCTGCAGTGGTTGTCTGCCCTCTTGCAGTGGTGACTTGGCATCCGGCAGTGATGATCTGCCTTCATGTATTGGTGGCCTGCCTTCCTGCAGTTGTGGCCTGTCATCCTGCAGTGGTGACCTGCCATCCTGCAGTGGTGGCCTGCTTTCCTGCAGTGGTGGTCTGCCTTCCTGCAGTTTTGGCTTGCCAGCCTGTAGTGGTGGCCTGCCATCCTGCAGTGATGGTCTGCCCTCTTGCAGTGGTGGTCTGCCCTCTTGCAGTGGTGGTCTGCCCTCTTGCAGTGGTGGTCTACAATCCTGCAGTAGTGGCCTGTCATCCTGCAGTAGTGGTCTACCATCCTGCAGTGGTTGTCTGCCATCCTGCAGAGTTGGTCTGCCCTCTTTCAGTGGTGGTCTGCCATCTAGCAGTGGTGGCCTGCCATCCTGCAGTAGTGGCCTGCCATCCGGCAGTGGTGGTCTGCAATCCTGCAGTGGTAGCCTGCCTTCCTGCGGTGGTGGTCTGCCATCCTTCAGTGGTGATCTGCCGTCATGCAGTGGTGGCCTGCCATCCTGCACTGTTCGCCTGCCATCCTGCAGTCGTGATCTGCCATCCTGCAGTGGGGGCTTGCCATTCTGCAGTGTTTGTCTGGCATTCTTCCTTGGTGGGTGGCCTTCCTGCAGTGGTAATCTGCAATCATGCAGTGGTGGCCTGCCATCCTGCAGTGGTGGCCTCTCATCCTGCAGTGGTGGCCTTCTATCCTTCAGTGGTGGCCTGCCCTCCTGCAGTGGTGGCCTGCCATCCTGCAGTGGTGGCCTCTCATCCTGCAGTGGTGGCCTGCCATCCTGCAGTGGTGGCCTGCCCTCCTGCCGTGGTGGTCTGCCATCTTGCAGTGGTGGTCTGCAATCCTGCAGTGGTGGCCTGCCATCCTGCAGATTTGGCATGCCATACTGCAGTGGTGGCCTGCTCTCCTGCAGGTAGTGGCCTGCCATCCTGCAGTGGTGTTCTGCCATTTTGCAGTGGTGGTCTGCCCTCCTGCAGTGGTGGTCTGCCCACCTGCAGTGGTGGTCTGCCATCCTGCAGTGATAGCCTGCCATCCTGCATTGGCTGCCTGCCCTCCAGCAGTGGTGGTCTGCCATCCTGCAGTGGTGGCGTGCCATCCAGCAGTGGTGGTCTGCAATCCTGCAGTCATGATCTGCCATTCTGCAGTGGTGGCTTGCCTTTTTGCAGTGGTGGCCTGCCTTCCTGCAATGAAGATCTGCCATCCTTCCGTGGTGACGTGCCCTCCTGCAGTGGTGACCTGCCTTCCTGCAGTGGTGGCTTGCCCGCCTGCAGTTGTGGCTTGCCATCCTGCAGTGGTGGTCTGCCATTCTCGAGTGGTGGCCTGCCATCGTGCAGTGGTGGCCTGCCATCCTGCAGTAGTAGCCTCTCATCCTGCAGTGGTGGTCTGCCATCCAGCAGTGGTGGTCTGCCCTTCTGCAGTAGTGGCCTCTCATCCTGCAGTGGTGGCCTGGCATCCTGCAGTAGTGGCCTCTCATCCTGCAGTGGTGGTCTGCCATCCAGCAGTGGTGGTCTGCCCTCTTGCAGTGGTGGCCTGCCATCGTGCAGTGGTGGCGTGCCATCCTGCAGTAGTGGCCTCTCATCCTGCAGTGGTGGTCTGCCATCCAGCAGTGGTGGTCTGCCCTTCTGCAGTAGTGGCCTCTCATCCTGCAGTGGTGGCCTGCCATCCTGCAGTGGTGGTCTGCAATCCAGCAGTCATGATCTGCCATTTTGCAGTGGTGGCTTGCCTTCCTGCAGTGGTGGCCTCTCATCCTGCAGTAGTGGCTTGCCTTCCTGCATTGGTGGTCTGCCATCTTGTAGTGGTGGTCTGCAATCCTGTAGTGGTGGCCTGCCATCCTGCAGAGTTGGCCTGCTCTCCTGCAGGTGGTGGCCTGCTATCCTGCAGTTGTGTTCTGCCGTCCTGCAGTGGTAGTCTGCCCACTTGCAGTGGTGGTCTGCCCACCTGCAGTGGTGGCCTGCCATCCTGCAGTGGTGACCTGCCATTCTGCAGTAGTGGTCTGCCATCTTGCAGTGGTGGCCTGCCAACCTGCAGTGGTGGCCTGCCATCTTGCAGTGGTGGCCTACAATCCTGCAGTGTTGGTCTGCAATCCTGCAGTGGTGGCCTGCCATCTTGCAGTGTGGCCTGCCATGCGGCAGTGGTGGCCTGTCATCCTGCAGTGATGGCCTGCCATCCTGCAGTGGCGGCCTGTCCTCATGCAGTGGTGGTCTACTACCCTCGAGTGGTGGTCTGGCAATCAGCAGTGGTGGCCTGCCATCCGGCAGTGGTGGTCTGCCATCCTGCAGTGGTTGCCTGCTATCCTGCAGTGGTGGCCTGCTTTTCGACAGTGTAGGCCTTCCCTCATGCGGTGGTGGCCTCTCATCCTGCAGTGGTGGCCTCTCATCCTGCAGTGGTGGTCTACCTTCCTACAGTAGTGGCCTGCCATCCTGCAGTGGTGGTCTGCAATCCTGCAGTGGTGGCCTGCCATCCTGCAGATTTGGCATGCCATCCTGCAGTGGTGTTCTGCCATCTTGCATTGGTGGCCTGCCATCTTGTAGTGGTGGCATCTGCTCCTGCAGTGGTGGTCTGCCATCCTGCATTGGTTGCCTGCCATCCTGCAGTGTGGCCTGCCATCCTGCATTGGTGGCCTGCCATCCTGCAGTGGTGGCCTGTCATCCTGCAGTGGTGGCCCGTCATCCTGCAATGGTGGTCTGCCATCCTGCAGTGATAGCCTGCCATCCTGCATTGGCTGCCTGCCCTCCAGCAGTGGTGGTCTACCATCCTGCAGTGGTGGCGTGCCATCCAGCAGTGGTGGCCTGCCTTCCTGCAGTGGTGGTCTGCCATCCTTGGAGTGGTGGCCTGCCATCCTGCAGTGGTGGTCTGCAATCCTGCAGTCATGATCTGCCATTCTGCAGTGGTGGCTTGCCTTCCTGCAGTGGTTGGCAGTCTGCCATCTTGTAGTGGTGGTCTGCAGTAGTCCTGTAGTGGTGGTCTGCAATCCTGTAGTGGTGGCCTGCCATCCTGCAGAGTTGGCCTGCTCTCCTGCAGTAGTGGCTTGCCGTCCTGCAGTGGTAGTCTGCCCACTTGCAGTGGTGGTCTGTCTCCTGCAGTGGTGGCCTGCCATTTTTCTGTGGTGGCCTGCCATCCTGCAGTGGTGACCTGCCATTCTGCAGTAGTGGTCTGCCATCTTGCAGTGGTGGCCTGCCAACCTGCAGTGGTGGCCTGCCATCTTGCAGTGGTGGCCTACAATCCTGCAGTGTTGGTCTGCAATCCTGCAGTGGTGGCCTGCCATCTTGACGTGGTGGCCTGCCATCCGGCAGTGGTGGCCTGTCATCCTGCAGTGATGGCCTGCCATCCTGCAGTGGCGGCCTGTCCTCATGCAGTGGTGGTCTACCATCCTCGAGTGGTGGTCTGACAATCAGCAGTGGTGGCCTGCCATCCGGCAGTGGTGGTCTGCCATCCTGCAGTGGTTGCCTGCTATCCTGCAGTGGTGGCCTGCTTTTCGACAGTGGTGGCCTTCCCTCATGCGGTGGTATCCTCTCATCCTGCAGTGGTGGCCTCTCATCCTGCAGTGGTGGTCTACCTTCCTACTGTAGTGGCCTGCCATCCTGCAGTGATGGCCTGCCATCCTGCAGTGGTGGCCTGCCCTCTTGCAGTGGTGGTCTGCCATCATGCAGTGGTTGTCTGCCATCCTGCAGTTGTGGTAGTCCATCCTGCAGTGGTGGCCTTCAATCCTGCAGTGGTGGCCTGCCATCCTGCATTGGTGGCCTGCTCTCCTGCAGTGGTGGTCTGCCATCCTGCAGTGGTGGTAGGCCATCTTGCAGTGGTTGTCTGCCATCCTGCCGTTGTGATCTGCTCTCCTGCAGTGGTGGTCTGCCATCTTGCAGTGGTGGTCTTCCATCCTTCAATGGTTTCCTGCCCTCCTGCAGTGGTGTTATGCGATCCTGCAGTGGTGGCCTGCCCATCTGCAGTGGTGGCCTGCCCACCTTCCGTGGTGGCCTACCATCCTGCAGTGGTAGCAGGCAGTCCTGCAGTGGTGGCCTGCTGTCCAGCAGTGGTTGTCTGACATCCTGCAGTGGTTGCCTTTCATCCTGCAGGGGTGGCCAGCCCTCCTGCATGGGTGGTCTGCCATCCTGCAATGTTGGCAGGCCAGCACACATATCTCAGGACTGGGATCACCGCGCAGTCGGACATACCTTTCCTGCTAGCAAGCTGTTCCCACACAGGAGCCGGCAAACCACTCTACACCCCAGGTTCTCCTGACAATCCGAGCCATTGTCAGAGAAAGTGACATACAAAGTAAATGTGCGACTCCTCGGAATCTATAACCGCTATGAGCGCGAAATTGCAGCAGCCATTGACAACGCAACATCAGTAGGACCAGTTGTCGTTCATATGCATGGTAACGAGGCCACATTAATCGTGGCAACAAAAGTGGATCTACAAAAGATCCTGGATCCGGAACGCCGGGTCCCACTACTGGCGGCGAACCTCTCACCAATTCCACCTACACAAATCACTGAAGGGAAAACGATATATATGATATATGAACAGGCTGAACCGCTAGTTAGAGGGTGAGGTACCCGACACCTTTGTGTGGCAAGTGAACGAAGTAAACCCTACTCTGAGAGCGAAGACAGCTCTATTCATCATGACTAATGAGGCAATCGACCCACGATGAAGATGACCTTCGAAACAGCACAACAGGCTCAGGAAGCAGTGCAGAACTGTTTCAAATGCTTTGAAATAACCTCCTCCACAAACTAGATCGACATGGAGAAGGTCTACAAAGTGAGACAGTGCAACAAGTTCTTCATCTATGAGCACTTCTCTAATAAGTGGTCAGAACAAACGACTAAGTGCAGCTCATGCTCCGGTACTCACAACTACAGGGACTGCACCGCCACCACCAAGAAATACGCGAAATCCTTCCTCTGCACAAAAATGAAGGAGGAACTGAAGAAGATTAAAGAGAAGACCACCACGCCGCCGACCACCTAGAGGCAAGTCGCCGCGAGCCTCCCTTGTATAAGCCAGATACAGACTACGACGCCCAAACAAGCCTCGTCGGTAGCAGTAGTAGTAGTAGTAGTAATAACGGTAGTAGGCATAAGAGAAACAACAAGCGAGAAGGGCTATTCAATAAATTCAATTTTAATAATAAGAGGATAGACTGGGAGAAAATAAACAGGGAACTTACAAACATTCAATGGGAAAATGTTCTAAGAAATAAAAATCCTACACAGGGAATAGAAAAACTGACGTCTGAAGCATATGAAGTCTGTCTGAAACATGTTCCTTTGAGGAAAGCCAGAAAGAGATCCAATGTAGAAAGAGAACGCAGACGACATTACAAAAGGAGGAAGAAATTAACGGAAATGCTTAAGCAGACACGACTCTCCATACAGAGAAGAAATAAATTAAACAGGGGGATTGAAGAAATCGAACAGAGACTGAAGCATTCCTATCAGACTGAAGAAAGGCAACTAGAACAGAAAGCAATTCAAGAAATAAAGAAAAACCCAAAATATTTCTTCACATATGCTAAATCAAAAGCGAAAACCACTGCCAGTATTGGACCTCTTCGTATTAGTGAAGGTTCATACACTGAGGATGACAAAGAAATTAGTGAAATCCTAAAAAAGCAGTATGAAGACATATTTAGCACTCCGATACTCAGCATGAAAGTGGAAGATTCGGACAATTTCTTTATGAATGATACTCAAACACCTGTAAATATAACTGATATCAACACGAGCGTGGCAGATTTTGAAAGAGAAATTGACAATATGCCCATGCACTCAGCCCCGGGTCCAGACTCATGGCATTCAATATTTATAAAGAAATGCAAAGTGCCAGTAACACAGGTACTCAGTATAGTGTGGAGGAAGATCTTGGACACAGGGGAGATACCAGATGTGCTTAAAGCAGCAGACATTGCCCCTCTACACAAGGGTGGTAGCAAAGCATTGGCAAAGAATTATAGACCTGTTTCACTAACGTCCCACATAATAAAAGTATTTGAAAGAGTGATCAAGAGTCAGGTCACTAGATTCATGAAAACCAATGACCTCCACAATCCAGGCCAACATGGATTTAGAGCATGAAGATCATGCCTCTCACAGCTACTTGACCACTATAACAAAATCACTGAGGCATTAGAGGAAAAAATAATGCCTATGTCGTATACACTGATTTTGCAAAGGCATTCGACAAATGTGACCATGGAGTGATTGCACACAAAATCAGGTCAATGGGTATAACTGGTAAAGTAGGACGCTGGATACTCAGTTTCCTGTCGAACAGAACAAAAAGAGTAACAGTCAATCATGTAAAATCGAGTCCGAGCGCAGTTAAAAGCTCTGTACCTCAGGGTACAGTCCTTGCTCCACTGCTGTTCCTTATTCTCATATCAGATATAGACAAAAACCCAACTCACAGCTTTGTGTCACCCTTTGCAGATGATACAAAAATCAGCATGAAAATTACCTCTGCTGAAGACACTAATAAACTACAAACAGATTTTAACAAAGTTTTCGATTGGGCAGCAGAAAATAACATAATGTTTAATGGTGATAAATTCCAGGTACTCAGATACGGCAAAAATGAGGATCTTAAACATAATACAGGGTACAAAACACAATCGAATCTGCCCATAGTAGGAAAACAGCATGTCAAGGATTTGGGAATAATGATGTCCGACGACCTAACGTTTAGGGAGCATACCCAAGCAAGTATTGCGTAAGCCAGAAAAATGATAGGATGGATTACGAGAACCTTCAAGTCCAGGGATCCCATCACAATGATTGTACTCTTCATATCACTTGTGTTCTCCCGTCTTGAGTACTGCTCAGTACTCACTTCCCCCTTCAGAGCAGGAGAGATTGCTGAAATTGACGGAATACAGAGAACATATACGGCATGCACAGACGAGATAAAGCACCTAAATTATTGGGATCGTCTCCAAATGTACTCACTAGAAAGGAGACGAGAGAGATACCAAATAATATACACATGGAAAATACTGGAGGGCCAGGTCCCAAATCTGCACAGTAAAATAACAACATACTGGAGTGAACGACATGGAAGAAAATGCAGAACACAACCAGTGAAGAGCAGAGGTGCCATGGGCACAATCAGAGAACACTGTATGAACATCAGAGGTCCACGGTTGTTCAACGTCCTACCAGCAAGCATCAGAAATATTACAGGAGCAACCGTGGACATCTTCAAGAGGACACTAGATTGTTTCCTTCAAGGAGTGCTGGACCAACCGGGCTGTGGTGGGTATGTGGGCCTGCGGGCCGTTTCGAGCAACAGCCTGGTGGAACAAACTCTCACAAGACAAGTCTGGCCCTGGGCCGGGCTTGGGGAGTAGAAGAACTTCCAGAACCCCATCAACCAGGTATCAACCAGGTACGCCTCATCAGCAGGACCCACCGAAACCAGAGACGCCGACAACCATCCAGAACATCCACATCCAGGTCATCATGGCCTATGCAGACAGAGTTGCGAAACAAGAACACAACTTGTTCCTCAAAACAGTGAACGGGCTTCTGGAAGCAATGGCACTGTGCCTATACTGGCACTAGTGAATAAATATGGAATTGCAGCTTCCCAGACCGAAGTCCCAAGGCTGACGACGACAACTGCGGACACCCAGACGGACGCTTCATGGACGACGATAACTGTGGACACCCAGACGGAAGGCTCCATGCACGGCGACAACTGCGGACATCCAGACGGACTCTCCACAGACGACAATAACTACGGGCACCCAGACGACGCTGACAGCAGTACACAACACAAATAAATCAGGAATACTGGCGACACAGGACGAAGAAGGACTACGGATCTTTAGACGAGCATGTGGACGATGAGGATTTCTCCGGCATAGATGAGTATGGCTCCGAAGATGCAATCCTGACGTCTCATCATGTATATTCACGCATGTTTGAGGGCATTGTACAAAATGTACCTGACATTTTGGCCATAACCACAGGTCAATACACCACTTCAGAAATAACCAGATGATCACCATCGACTTACCACGGAATATCATCGAGGATCTCCCATGATACTTTAGACTGTCACCTGTGGACATCCAAGTACAGACACGAAGAAAAAACAAGAAACCGAAAAACAGGAAAAAATAGGGCCCCCTAGGGCCCCTTGAGATAGTGATGCTGTAATTATATATCAAACAAGGACTTATGGCTGCTGGTCGGCCCTTTTGGGACCCCCGCTCTCCCCCACATTAGTGCTTTGTGTGGTGTAATTCTGCTATCTATCTAAAAATCCTCGCCCTTGCTGGGTTGAGCCCTGGCTTTACTATCTGCAACGCCGAAGCTTCTATACTTCAATACTCTCCAGAATTTATTTCCGACTGTCCCACTTCCCAGACCCCCATTCATCCCCAGATTTATTGTACCAGCTACTGGTACTGGTAACAGCTTCAAACAGTCTCCGCTTTTGGGCTATTCATGCCCGTGCCTCATCTGAAGTAACTTAATCTTTGTCAATCATCAATCGGTGGCAGGCATTTTAACTTTCATCATCATGCCACTCTACATCCACATGTCTCCCTGTATCCACATGACACCTTTCATCTATATGCCACTGTTCATCCACATGACACCTTTCATCTATATGCCACTGTTCATCCACATGACACCTTTCATCTATATGCCACTGTTCATCCACATGACACCTTTCATCCACATGACCACCTGAATCCACTTGACACTTTTCATCCACATTCCACTTTTGTCGGAAAAAACGACACCATTTACTAATATTTAATACAACGGACAGATAATATTGCTGCTGGTTTGTAATAAACAGACTCATACTTGACTGTAGTAATTGATCACATTCAGTCCTCTGGTTTAAAAAAGAATGTAATTACGCTAGAAGTTTAGCCTTCCAAGAGTTAGCAGGGGAAATGAAATAGCCTAAGACTTCCAACCCATACAATTCTAGTATGCGATATCTGTCGTGTACAAACTGACGCACAAATGTGTCATTACTAACTAGTAACATCAAATTAATCTAGTAATTCTGAGGAGGACTTTCAATGTTCATCAGTTCTAAGTAATAAACTTTGACCTGTGTTCGGCCCCCCAGGAATTATGTCGGAAAAACCGACACCATTTACTAA